GTGACAGTGTTCATGGTGTTCATGGTGTTCATGGTGACAGTGTTCATGGTGTGACAGTGTTCATGGTGTGACAGTGTTCATGGTGACAGTGTTCATGGTGTGACAGTGTTCATGGTGTGACAGTGTTCATGGTGTGACAGTGTTCATGGTGTTCATGGTGACAGTGTTTCATGGTGTGACAGTGTTCATGGTGTTCATGGTGACAGTGTTCATGGTGACAGTGTTCATGGTGTGACAGTGTTCATGGTGTTCATGGTGACAGTGTTTCATGGTGTGACAGTGTTCATGGTGTTCATGGTGACAGTGTTCATGGTGACAGTGTTCATGGTGTGACAGTGTTCATGGTGTTCATGGTGACAGTGTTCATGGTGTTCATGGTGATAGTGTTCATGGTGACAGTGTTCATGGTGTGACAGTGTTCATGGTGTTCATGGTGACAGTGTTCATGGTGTGACAGTGTTCATGGTGTTCATGGTGACAGTGTTCATGGTGACAGTGTTCATGGTGTGACAGTGTTCATGGTGTTCATGGTGTTCATGGTGACAGTGTTCATGGTGTGACAGTGTTCATGGTGACAGTGTTCATGGTGACAGTGTTCATGGTGACAGTGTTCATGGTGTTCATGGTGTGACAGTGTTCATGGTGTGACAGTGTTCATGGTGTTCATGGTGTGACAGTGTTCATGGTGTTCATGGTGTGACAGTGTTCATGGTGTGACAGTGTTCATGGTGTTCATGGTGTGACAGTGTTCATGGTGTTCATGGTGTGACAGTGTTCATGGTGTGACAGTGTTCATGGTGTTCATGGTGTGACAGTGTTCATGGTGTGACAGTGTTTCATGGTGACAGTGTTCATGGTGACAGTGTTCATGGTGTGACAGTGTTCATGGTGTGACAGTGTTCATGGTGTTCATGTATGTGACAGTGTTCATGGTGTTCATGGTGTGACAGTGTTCATGTGTGACAGTGTTCATGGTGTTCATGGTGTGACAGTGTTCATGGTGTTCATGGTGTGACAGTGTTCATGGTGTGACAGTGTTCATGGTGTTCATGGTGTGACAGTGTTCATGGTGTGACAGTGTTCATGGTGACAGTGTTCATGGTGACAGTGTTCATGGTGACAGTGTTCATGGTGTTCATGGTGACAGTGTTCATGGTGTTCATGGTGTTCATGGTGACAGTGTTCATGGTGTGACAGTGTTCATGGTGTGACAGTGTTCATGGTGACAGTGTTCATGGTGTGACAGTGTTCATGTGGTGACAGTGTTCATGGTGTGACAGTGTTCATGGTGTGCATGGTGACAGTGTTTCATGGTGTGACAGTGTTCCTGTGTTCATGGTGACAGTGTTCATGGTGACAGTGTTCATGGTGTGACAGTGTTCATGGTGTTTCATGGTGACAGTGTTTCATGGTGTGAACCAGTGTTCATGGTGTTCATGGTGACAGTGTTCATGGTGACAGTGTTTCATGGTGTGACAGTGTTCATGGTGTTCATGGTGACAGTGTTCATGGTTTCATGGTGATAGTGTTCATGGTGACAGTGTTCATGGTGTGGACAGTGTTCATGGTGTTCATGGTGACAGTGTTCATGGTGTGACAGTGTTCATGGTGGTCATGTTGTGACAGTGTTCATGGTGTGACAGTGTTCATGGTGTTCATGGTGACAGTGTTCATGGTGTGACAGTGTTCATGGTGTGACAGTGTTCATGGTGTGACAGTGTTCATGGTGTTCATGGTGACAGTGTTCATGGTGTTCATGGTGACAGTGTTCATGGTGTGACAGTGTTCATGGTGTTCATGGTGACAGTGTTCATGGTGTGACAGTGTTCATGGTGTTCATGGTGACAGTGTTCATGGTGTTCATGGTGACAGTGTTCATGGTGTGACAGTGTTCATGGTGTTCATGGTGACAGTGTTCATGGTGTGACAGTGTTCATGGTGTGACAGTGTTCATGGTGTTCATGGTGACAGTGTTCATGGTGACAGTGTTCATGGTGTGACAGTGTTCATGGTGTGACAGTGTTCATGGTGTGACAGTGTTCATGGTGTTCATGGTGACAGTGTTCATGGTGTTCATGGTGACAGTGTTCATGGTGTGACAGTGTTCATGGTGTTCATGGTGACAGTGTTCATGATGTGACAGTGTTCATGGTGTGACAGTGTTCATGGTGTTCATGGTGACAGTGTTCATGGTGACAGTGTTCATGGTGTTCATGGTGACAGTGTTCATGGTGTGACAGTGTTCATGGTGTTCATGGTGTGACAGTGTTCATGGTGTGACAGTGTTCATGGTGTTCATGGTGACGGTGTTCATGGTGACAGTGTTCATTGTGACAGTGTTCATGGTGTTTTTGGTGTGACAGTGTTCATGGTGTGACAGTGTTCATGGTGTTCATGGTGACAGTGTTCATGGGTTTGTGATGTTGAGATTGGGAGGTTGAGTGTTTTTTTTGTGGTTGTGGTTATAGTGGTGGTGATGGTGGTTGTTGTGGTAATAGTGGTTGTGGTTGTGGTAATAGTGGTTGTTGTGATAGTTGTGGTTGTGATTGCTTTGCTTGTTGTTGTGGTTATGGTAATAATGGTTGTGGTTGTTGTGGTTGTTGTAGTAATAGTGGTTGTTGTTGTGGTTGTTTTAGTAATAATTGTGGTGGTTGTAGTGGTTGTGGTTGTTGTGGTTGTTGTAGTAATAGTTGTTGTGGTTGTTGTGGTTGTTATAGTAATAGTGGTTGTTGTTGTTGTGGTTGTTTTAGTAATAGTGGTTGTTGTTTTAGTAATAGTTGTTGTGGTTGTTTTAGTAATAGTTGTGGTTATTGTGGTTGTTGTATTAATAGTTGTGGTTGTTTTAGTAATAGTTGTTGTGGTTGTTGTAGTAATAGTTGTTGTGGTTGTTTTAGTAATAGTTGTTGTAGTTGTTTTAGTAATAGTTGTTGTGGTTGTTTTAGTAATAGTTGTTGTGGTTGTTGTAGTTGTTTTAGTAATAGTGGTTGTGGTTGTTGTAGTAATAGTTGTGGTTGTTGTGGTTGTTTTAGTAATAGTTGTTGTGGTTGTTGTGGTTGTTGTAATAGTGGTTGTGGTTGTTGTGGTTGTTGTAGTAATAGTGGTTGTGGTTGTTGTGGTTGTTTTAGTAATAGTGGTTGTGGTTGTTGTGGTTGTTGTAGTAATAGTTGTTGTGGTTGTTGTGGTTGTTGTAGTAATAGTTGTTGTGGTTGTTGTGGTTGTTTTAGTAATAGTGGTTGTGGTTGTTGTGCTATAGAGGTTGTGGTTGTTGTGGTTGTTTTAGTAATTGTGGTTGTTGTAGTTGTGCTATAGTGATTGTGGTTGTTGTGGTTGTGCTATAGTTGTTGTGGTTGTTGTGGTTGTGCTATAGTGGTTGTGCTATAGTGGTTGTTGTTGTGGTTGTTGTGCTATAGTAGTTGTGGTTGTTGTGGTTGTTGTAGTTGTGCTATGTGGTTGTTGTGCTATAGTTGTTGTGGTTGTTGTGCTATAGTGGTTGTTGTGCTATAGTTGTTGTGGTTGTGCTATAGTGGTTGTTGTTGTGGTTGTGCTATAGTTGTTGTTGTTGTTGTGGTTGTTGTTGTGGTTGTGCTATAGTTGTTGTGGTTGTTGTGGTGGTTGTGGTTGTGCTATAGTTGTTGTGGTTGTTGTTGTTGTGGTTGTGCTATAGTTGTTGTGGTTGTGCTATAGTTGTTGTGGTTGTTGTGGTTGTGCTATAGTGGTTGTGCTATAGTTGTTGTGCTATAGTGGTTGTGCTATAGTTGTTGTGGTTGTTTTGTTGTTGTGGTTGTTGTTGTGGTTGTGCTATAGTTGTTGTTGTGGTTGTTGTGGTTGTGGTTGTGCTATAGTTGTGGTTGTTGTGGTTGTTGTGGTTGTGGTTGTGCTATAGTTGTTGTTGTTGTTGTGGTTGTTGTGGTTGTGCTATAGTTGTTGTTGTTGTGGTTGTGCTATAGTTGTTGTGGTTCTGGTTGTTGTTGTGGTTGTTGTGGTTGTGCTATAGTTGTTGTGGTTGTGCTATAATTGTTGTGGTTGTTGTGGTTGTGCTATAGTTGTTGTGGTTGTTGTTGTTGTGGTTGTGCTATAGTTGTTGTGGTTGTTGTTGTTGTGGTTGTTGTGGTTGTTGTTGTGGTTGTGCTATAGTTGTTGTTGTGGTTGTTGTGGTTGTGGTTGTGCTATAGTTGTTGTTGTTGTGGTTGTTGTGGTTGTGCTATAGTTGTTGTGGTTGTGCTATAGTTGTTGTGGTTCTGGTTGTTGTTGTGGTTGTTGTGGTTGTGCTATAGTTGTTGTGGTTGTGCTATAGTTGTTGTGGTTGTTGTGGTTGTGCTATAGTTGTTGTGGTTGTTGTTGTTGTGGTTGTGGTATAGTTGTTGTGGTTGTTGTTGTTGTGGTTGTTGTGGTTGTTGTTGTGGTTGTTGTTGTGGTTGTGCTATAGTTGTTGTTGTGGTTGTTGTGGTGGTTGTGGTTGTGCTATAGTTGTTGTGGTTGTTGTTGTTGTGGTTGTGCTATAGTTGTTGTGGTTGTGCTATAGTTGTTGTGGTTGTTGTGGTTGTGCTATAGTTGTTGTTGTTGTGGTTGTGCTATAGTTGTTGTGGTTGTTGTGGTTGTGCTATAGTTGTTGTGGTTGTGCTATAGTTGTTGTGGTTGTTGTTGTGGTTGTTGTGGTTGTTGTTGTGGTTGTTGTTGTGGTTGTGCTATAGTTGTTGTTGTTGTTGTGGTTGTTGTGGTTGTGCTATAGTGGTTGTGCTATAGTTGTTGTGCTATAGTGGTTGTGCTATAGTTGTTGTGCTATAGTGGTTGTGGTTGTTGTGGTTGTGCTATAGTGGTTGTGGTTGTTGTTGTTGTGGTTGTGCAATAGTTGTTGTGGTTGTTGTGATTGTGGTTGTTGTGGTTGTGCTATAGTGGTTGTGCTATAGTTGTTGTGCTATAGTGGTTGTGCTATAGTTGTTGTGGTTGTTGTGGTTGTTGTGGTTGTGCTATAGTTGTTGTGGTTGTTGTGGTTGTTGCAGGCACAGAGGGGACCTCGCCGGGCACCGACGCCTCGCCCATGACCTCACCGTGACCCCACGTCACATGGTGAGACCGCAGTGCATTCTGGGATCGCTACTTCCTCCCCCAACAGTGCAGTGCATTCTGGGATAGCTACTGCCACCCCCAACAGTGCAGTGCATTCTGGGATAGCTACTGCCACCCCCAACTGTGCAGTGCATTCTGGGATAGCTACTGCCACCCCCAACAGTGCATTCTGGGATAGCTACTGCCACCCCCCACAGTGCAGTGAATTCTGGGATAGCTACTTCCTCCCCCAACAGTGCAGTGCATTCTGGGATAGCTACTGCCACCCCCACCCCCAACAGTGCAGTGCATTCTGGGATAGCTGCTGCCACCCCCAACAGTGTGTGTGTGTACGTGTGTATGTGTATGTGTGTGCGTGTATGTATGTGTGTGTATGTGTGTATATGTGTGTGTGTGTATGTGTGTGTATGTGTGTATATGTGTGTATGTGTGTGCGTGTATGTGTGTGTATATGTGTGTGTGTATGGCTAATCGATGCCCGGGTGCGGTCAAGAGATGGCTCCCTATTGCTCAACCACGTTATGTATGCTGATGATTTGGTAATAGCTGCTCAGTCAGAGGAGGAGTTGGAGACGCTGCTACTGAGACTGGAGCGTGCCACTAAGAGATGGGGCCTTACCATCAGCCCCACCAAAACTAAGCACCTGCCTGGGTATTTTGTACCATCGGACACTCCACCCCCACAACTCCCAATCGGTGATAGGGCAGTTGTGGAGAGAGTGGAGAGTTTCCCATACCTGGGCAGTGTGCTTATGACTGGCTCCAGTTTAACAGCAGAGGTCTCACTCCGAATCAGTCGAGCGGCAATATCTTTTCATCGGTTGCGTAACGCTGTATGGAAGCTACCTGGTCTGTCGCTCTGCACTAAGCTTCAGGTCTTCTCGGCCACGGTCATTCCCTCCCTTCTCTACGCTTGCGAAACGTGGACCCCCCTAATGGAACATCTTCGCCAGTTAGAAACATTTAGGCTGGCCTGCCTACGATCCATCCTGGGTTTAACCAGGCTGGATTGTGTGAGGAGCTCACAAATCCTTGAAAGATCTGGGCAAGGTCCCATCGGTGAGCTCCTCCGGCGGGCAAGGCTGCGATGGCTGGGTCATGTAGCCCGCATGCCCAGCCACCGCATGCCGAAACAGCTTTTGTTTGGCCGGATTGAGGGGGCTAAGCGGGCGCGGCACGGGCTAGAGAAGAGATGGAGTGATGTGGTACAGGAGGACGTGGAGCTGAGTGGACTTGCCGATGACTGGTACCAGCGGTGTCAAGATCGGCCTCTGTGGAGGAGGCTCGTGAAGGACGCTACTGGGCAGTTGGAGGCAGTCGCCCTCCAACAACAACGGAGGGCGGAGGAGCGACGCTCACAACAGCGAGCGGAGCGCCGGGTGGCTAAAGCACAGCAGGTTGGCACAGTAGGGGGCACAGGTGGTGCATCAGCCAGTCATCTCAGTCAGTCGACCCGTGGCACCTGCTGGGTCTGCCCCGTGACCTCCTGCCAGCGGGCGTTCGACACTTCACGTGGCCTCAGGGTGCACATAGCCTGGCACAAGCGTCGTGGTGACGTCACCGCCACTTAGTGGCGAATGGCGGTTGTTGTTGTTGATATGTGTGTATAAGTGTATATATTTATATATAAGTGTGTGTGTATGTGTGTGTATGTATATATAAGTATTTATAAGTGTATATATAAGTATATATAATGTATGTGGTGTGCACAGCGTGTGGAGAATGCCGTCCAGCTCCCGCTCCGGATCCGCAGTCCGGAGCTCCGCTTCGGGATCCCCAGCGGACCCCTCGGAGCTGTTCCAGCGCGACAATCCCGAGGCCCTGTTCAGCGACCTGCGGGAGATCGGGCACGGCAGCTTTGGGGCCGTCTACTTTGTGAGTGCACCTAGCCTGGCACCGTACATGCGCTCGCTGGCTCGCTGGCTGGCTGGCTCACTCACTCAGTCAGTCACTCAGTCACTCACTCATACACTCACTCACTCATACACTCACTCACTCAGTCAGTCACTCAGTCACTAACTCATACACTCACTCATACACTCACTCACTCATACACTCACTCATACACTCACTCACTCATACACTCACTCACTCAGTCACTCATACACTCACTCACTCATACAGTCACTCACTCACTCATACACTCACTCATACACTCACTCACTCACTCATACACTCACTCATACACTCACCCATACACTCACTCATACACTCACTCATACACTCACTCATACACTCACTCAGTCAGTCACTCACTCATACACTCACCCATACACTCACTCATACACTCACTCAGTCAGTCACTCATACACTCACTCATACACTCACTCACTCATACACTCACTCATACACTCACTCATACACTCACTCACTCATACACTCACTCACTCATACACTCACTCACTCATACACTCACACACTCACTCATACACTCAGTCAGTCACTCATACACTCACTCATACACTCACTCACTCATACACTCACTCACTCATACACTCACTCACTCACTCATACACTCACTCACTCAATCATACACTCACCCATACACTCACTCACACACTCACTCATACACTCACACACTCACTCATACACTCACCCATACACTCACTCACACACACACTCACTCATACACTCACACACTCACTCATACACTCACCCATACACTCACTCACTCACTCATACACTCACTCAGTCACTAATACACTCACTCACTCATACACTCACTCATACACTCATACACTCACTCACTCATACACTCACTCACTCACACACTCAGTCACTCACTCATACACTCACTCATACACTCACTCACTCATACAGTCACTCACTCATACACTCACTCACTCATACACTCACTCACACACTCACTCATACACTCACTCACTCACTCATACACTCACTCACTCATACACTCACTCATACACTCACTCATTCATACACTCACTCATACACTCACCCATACACTCACTCACTCATACAGTCACTCACTCATGCACTCACTCACTCATACACTCAGTCATACACTCACTACTACACTCACTCACTACTACACTCACTCACACACTCACTACTACACTCACTCACACACTCACTACTACACTCACTCATACACTCACTACTACACTCACTCATCCTGAGGCCCTGTTCAGCGACCTGCGGGAGATCGGCCACGGCAGCTTCGGGGCTGTCTACTTTGTGAGTGCACCTAGCCTGGCACCGTACACGCGCTCGCTGGCTCGCTGGCTCGCTCACTCAGTCAGTCACTCACTCAGTCACTCACTCATACACTCACTCACTCATACACTCACTCACTCATACACTCACACACTCACTCATACACTCACCCATACACTCACTCATACACTCACTCATACACTCACTCACTCACACACTCACTCATACACTCACTCACTCACTCATACACTCATACACTCACTCATACAGTCACTCATACACTCACTCACTCCTACATTCACTCATACACTCACTCACTCATACACTCACTCATACACTCACTCTTACACTAACTCATACACTAACTCACTCATACAGTCACTCACTCACTCATACACTCACTCACTCAGTCTTACACTCACTCATACACTCACTCACACACTCATACACTCACTCACTCATACTCACTCACTCATACACTCACTCACTCATACACTCACTCATATACTCACTCACTCACTCATACACTCACTCATACACTCACTCACTCATACACTCACTCACTCACTCATACACTCACTCACTCACTCATACACTCACTCATACACTCACTCATACACTCACTCACTCATACACTCACTCATACACTCAGTCAGTCACTCATACACTCAGTCAGTCACTCATACACTCACTCATACACTCACTCACTCACTCATACACTCACTCACTCACTCATACACTCACTCACTCACTCATACACTCACTCATACACTCACTCATACACTCACTCATACACTCACTCACTCACTCATACACTCATACACTCACTCATACAGTCACTCATACACTCACTCACTCATACACTCACTCATACACTCACTCATACACTCACTCATACACTCACTCTTACACTAACTCATACACTAACTCACTCATACAGTCACTCACTCACTCATACACTCACTCACTCAGTCTTACACTCACTCATACACTCACTCACACACTCATACACTCACTCACTCATACTCACTCACTCATACACTCACTCACTCATACACTCACTCACTCATATACTCACTCACTCACTCAAACACTCACTCACTCAGTCATACACTCACTCACTCATACACTCACTCATACACTCACTCACTCATACTCACTCACTCATACACTCACTCACTCATACACTCACTCACTCATACACTCACTCATATACTCACTCACTCACTCATACACTCACTCACTCATACACTCACTCATACACTCATACACTCACTCATACACTCACTTATACACTCACTCAGTCATACACTCACTCACTCATACACTCACTCATACACTCACTCACTCATACACTCATACACTCACTCATACACTCACTCATACACTCACTCATTTATTGATTATTATTGATAATTATTGATGATTATTATTGGTGATTATTGATGATGTGTCCAGGCACGGAACGTGCGAACCAGCGAGGTCGTGGCCATCAAGAAGATGTCGTACAGCGGGAAGCAGTCCAGTGAGGTGAGACCCCCCTTACCAACATGGCCGCCTGCTGCCACGATGCCCTTACCAACATGGCTACCTGCTGGCAACGACCCCCTTGCCAACATGACTGCCTGCTGGCACGACTCCTTTACCAACATGGCCTGCCCACCCACCTGCACCGCTCCCCTCACCAACATGGCCGTCCACCTGCCTGCACGACTCCCCTCAGCAAAATGGCCCCCCAACCACTTGCACCGTTCCCCTCACCAATATGACCACCCACCCACCTGCACCGCACCAACATGGCCGCCTGCACCGCTCCCCTCACCAACATGGCCGCCCACCCACCTGCACCGCTCCCCTCACCAACATGGCCGCCCACCTGCCTGCACGACTCCCCTCACCAACATGGCCGCCCAACCACTTGCACCGTTCCCCTCACCAATATGACCACCCACCTGCACCGCACCAACATGGCCGCCCAATTGCCTGCACCGCTCCCCTTATCAACATGGCCGCCCACCCGCCTGCACCGCTCCCCTCACCAACATGGCCGCCCACCCACCTGTACCGCTCCCCTTATCAACATGGCCGCCCACCTGCCTGCACCACTTCCTTCACCAACATGGCCGCCTGCACGACCCCCCTCACCAACATGGCCGAGTGAGAGGAGTCTGTGTGTAACCTGGCACGTACCCCCTCCCCCCACTCTCTGCCCCCCACTGCCCCCCACTGCCCCCCACTGCGTGTGGTTGTAGAAGTGGCAGGACATTGTGAAGGAGGTGACGTTCCTGCAGAAGCTCAAGAACCCTCACACCATCGACTACAAGGGCTGTTACCTGCGGGAGCACACAGCGTGGGTGAGTGGTGGGGGGGTGAGTGGTGGGGGGGTGAGTGGTGGGGGGGTGAGTGGTGGGGGGGTGAGTGGTGGGGGGGTGAGTGGTGGGGGGGTGAGTGGTGGGGGGGTGAGTGGTGGGGGGTGAGTGGTGGGGGGGTGAGTGTGGGGGGGGGTGAGTGGTGGGGGGGGTGAGTGGTGGGGGGGTGAGTGTTGGGGGGGTGAGTGTTGGGGGGGTGAGTGGTGGAGGGTGAGTGGTGGGGGGTGAGTGGTGGGGGGTGAGTGGTGGGGGGGTGAGTGGTGGGGGGGGAGTGGTGGGGGGTGAGTGGTGGGGGGGTGAGTGGTGGGGGGGTGAGTGTTGGGGGGTGAGTGTTGGGGGGGTGAGTGTTGGGGGGTGAGTGGTGGGGGGGGAGTGGGGGGGGGTGAGTGGTGGGGGGGTGAGTGGTGGGGGGGGAGTGGTGGGGGGTGAGTGGTGGGGGGGTGAGTGGTGGGGGGGGTGAGTGGTGGGGGGGTGAGTGGTGGGGGGGTGAGTGGTAGGGGGGGTGAGTGGTGGGGGGGTGAGTGGTGGGGGGGTGAGTGGTGGGGGGGTGAGTGGTGGGGGGGTGAGTGGTGGGGGGGTGAGTGGTGGGGGGGTGAGTGGTGGGGGGTGAGTGGTAGGGGGGGTGAGTGGTGGGGGGGTGAGTGGTGGGGGGGTGAGTGGTGGGGGGGTGAGTGGTGGGGGGGTGAGTGGTGGGGGGGTGAGTGGTGGGGGGGTGAGTGGTGGGGGGGGAGTGGAGGCAGAGGTGCTGCTACTCGCTACTGACTACAGCACTTGCCCCTACAGCCCTGTTAGAGGCTATCTGGGGGATCTTTGTCTGTGTGTGTAGGTGCTGCTACTCGCTACTGACTACAGCACTTGTCCCTACAGTCTGCTAAGGCTACCTGGGGGAGCTTTGTCTGTGTGTGTGTAGGTGCTGCTACTCGCTACTCACAGCACTTGCCCCTACAGCCTGCTAGAGGCTACCTGGGGGATCTTTGTGTGTGTGTAGGTGCTGCTACTCGCTACTGACTACAGCACTTGCCCCTACATCCTGCTAGAGGCTACCTGGGGGGCCTTTGTCTGTGTCTGTGTGTGAGCAGCTGGTGATGGAGTACTGCCTGGGTTCTGCATCTGACCTCCTGGAAGGTGAGGGGGGTGGTGGTGTGGTGAGGGTGGTGTGGTGAGCGTGGTGTGGTGTGGTGGGCGTGGTGTGGTGAGCGTGGTGGTGTGATGAGAGTGGTGTGGTGAGCGTGGTGTGGTGAGCGTGGTGGTGTGGTGAGGGTGTTGTTGCGGTGGTGGTGTGGTGAGTGTGGTGGTGAGCATGGTGTGGTGAGCGTGGTAGTAGTGTGGTGAGCGTGGTGGAGTGGTGAGAGTGGTGTGGTGAGCGTGGTGTGGTGAGCGTGGTAGTGGTGTGGTGGTGGTGGTGTCGTGAGAGTGGTGTGTTGAGCGTGGTGTGGCGAGCGTGGTGGTGTGGTGAGGGTGGTGTTGTGGTGGTGGTGGTGTGGTGAGCATGGTGGTGTGGTGAGCATGGTGGTGTGGTGAGCATGGTGGTGTGGTGAGGATGGTGGTGTTGTGGTGAGCGTGGTGTGGTGAGCGTGGTGAGTGTGGTGGTGTGGTGAAGGTGGTGGTGGTGTGGTGAGCGTGGTGGTGTGGTGAGCATGGTGGTGGTGGTGTGGTGAGCGTGGTGTTGTGGTGAGCGTGGTGGTGGTGTGGTGAGAGTGGTGTGGTGAGAGTGGTGTGGTGTGGTGAGCGTGGTGGTGTGGTGAGCGTGGTGGTGGTGTGGTGAGCGTGGTGTGGTGTGGTGAGCGTGGTGTTGTGGTGAGCGTGGTGTTGTGGTGAGCCTGTTGGTGGTGTTGTGGTGAGCGTGGTGGTGGTGTTGTGGTGAGCATGCTGTTGATCTCTCCCACTCCTAGTTCACAAGAGACCTCTCCAGGAGGTAGAAATCTCGTGGTGTGGTGAGAGTGGTGGTGTGGTGAGAGTGGTGGTGTGGTGAGCGTGGTGAGCGTGGTGTGGTGAGAGTGGTGGTGGTGTGGTGAGCATGGTGGTGATCTCTCCCCCTCCTAGTTCACAAGAGACCTCTCCAGGAGGTAGAAATCTCGTGGTGTGATGAGAGTGGTGGTGTGGTGAGAGTGGTGGTGTGGTGAGCGTGGTGTGGTGAGAGTGGTGGTGGTGTGGTGAGCATGGTGGTGATCTCTCCCCCTCCTAGTTCACAAGAGACCTCTCCAGGAGGTAGAAATCTCGTGGTGTGGTGAGAGTGGTGTTGTGGTGAGAGTGGTGGTGGTGTGGTGAGCATGGTGGTGTGGTGGTGAGCGTGTTGGTGTTGTGGTGAGCGTGGTGGTGTTGTGGTGAGCATGGTGTTGTGGTGAGCGTGGTGGTGGTGTTGTGGTGAGAGTGGTGTTGTGGTGAGAGTGGTGGTGGTGTGGTGAGCATGGTGGTGGTCTCTCCCCCTCCTAGTTCACAAGAGACCTCTCCAGGAGGTAGAAATCTCGTGGTGTGGTGAGAGTGGTGGTGTGGTGAGAGTGGTGGTGTTGTGGTGAGAGTGGTGGTGTTGTGGTGAGAGTGGTGTTGTGGTGAGCGTGTTGGTGATCTCTCCCCCTCCTAGTTCACAAGAGACCTCTCCAGGAGGTAGAAATCTCGTGGTGTGGTGAGAGTGGTGTTGTGGTGAGAGTGGTGGTGGTGTGGTGAGAGTGGTGGTGGTGTGGTGAGCATGGTGGTGATCTCTCCCCCTCCTAGTTCACAAGAGACCTCTCCAGGAGGTAGAAATCTCGTGGTGTGGTGAGAGTGGTGTGGTGAGAGTGGTGGTGTTGTGGTGAGAGTGGTGGTGTTGTGGTGAGAGTGGTGGTGTGGTGAGCATGGTGGTGATCTCTCCCCCTCCTAGTTCACAAGAGACCTCTCCAGGAGGTAGAAATCTCGTGGTGTGGTGAGAGTGGTGTGGTGAGAGTGGTGGTGTTGTGGTGAGAGTGGTGTTGTGGTGAGAATGGTGGTGGTCTCTCCCCCTCCTAGTTCACAAGAGACCTCTCCAGGAGGTAGAAATCTCGTGGTGTGGTGAGAGTGGTGGTGTGGTGAGCATGGTGGTGTGGTGAGAGTGGTGGTGGTGTGGTGAGCATGGTGGTGGTGTGGTGAGAGTGGTGTTGTGGTGAGAGTGGTGGTGGTGTTGTGGTGAGAGTGGTGGTGGTGTTGTGGTGAGAGTGGTGGTGTTGTGGTGAGAGTGGTGGTGGTGTGGTGAGCGTGGTGGTGGTGTGGTGAGCGTGGTGGTGTTGTGGTGAGCGTGTTGGTGGTCTCTCCCCCTCCTAGTTCACAAGAGACCTCTCCAGGAGGTAGAAATCTCGTGGTGTGGTGAGAGTGGTGGTGTGGTGAGAGTGGTGGTGTGGTGAGCGTGGTGAGCGTGGTGTGGTGAGAGTGGTGGTGTGGTGAGCATGGTGGTGATCTCTCCCCCTCCTAGTTCACAAGAGACCTCTCCAGGAGGTAGAAATCTCGTGGTGTGGTGAGAGTGGTGTGGTGAGAGTGGTGGTGTTGTGGTGAGAGTGGTGGTGTTGTGGTGAGAGTGGTGGTGTGGTGAGCATGGTGGTGATCTCTCCCCCTCCTAGTTCACAAGAGACCTCTCCAGGAGGTAGAAATCTCGTGGTGTGGTGAGAGTGGTGTGGTGAGAGTGGTGGTGTTGTGGTGAGAGTGGTGTTGTGGTGAGCATGGTGGTGGTCTCTCCCCCTCCTAGTTCACAAGAGACCTCTCCAGGAGGTAGAAATCTCGTGGTGTGGTGAGAGTGGTGGTGTGGTGAGCATGGTGGTGTGGTGAGAGTGGTGGTGGTGTGGTGAGCATGGTGGTGGTGTGGTGAGAGTGGTGTTGTGGTGAGAGTGGTGGTGGTGTTGTGGTGAGAGTGGTGTTGTGGTGAGAGTGGTGGTGTTGTGGTGAGAGTGGTGGTGGTGTGGTGAGCGTGGTGGTGTTGTGGTGAGCGTGGTGGTGTTGTGGTGAGCGTGTTGGTGATCTCTCCCCCTCCTAGTTCACAAGAGACCTCTCCAGGAGGTAGAAATCTCGTGGTGTGGTGAGAGTGGTGGTGTGGTGAGAGTGGTGGTGTGGTGAGCGTGGTGAGCGTGGTGTGGTGAGAGTGGTGAGAGTGGTGTGGTGAGCATGGTGGTGATCTCTCCCCCTCCTAGTTCACAAGAGACCTCTCCAGGAGGTAGAAATCTCGTGGTGTGGTGAGAGTGGTGTGGTGAGAGTGGTGGTGTTGTGGTGAGAGTGGTGTTGTGGTGAGCATGGTGGTGGTCTCTCCCCCTCCTAGTTCACAAGAGACCTCTCCAGGAGGTAGAAATCTCGTGGTGTGGTGAGAGTGGTGGTGTGGTGAGCATGGTGGTGTGGTGAGAGTGGTGGTGGTGTGGTGAGCATGGTGGTGGTGTGGTGAGAGTGGTGTTGTGGTGAGAGTGGTGGTGGTGTTGTGGTGAGAGTGGTGGTGGTGTTGTGGTGAGAGTGGTGGTGTTGTGGTGAGAGTGGTGGTGGTGTGGTGAGCGTGGTGGTGTTGTGGTGAGCGTGGTGGTGTTGTGGTGAGCGTGTTGGTGATCTCTCCCCCTCCTAGTTCACAAGAGACCTCTCCAGGAGGTAGAAATCTCGTGGTGTGGTGAGAGTGGTGGTGTGGTGAGAGTGGTGGTGTGGTGAGCGTGGTGAGCGTGGTGTGGTGAGAGTGGTGGTGTGGTGAGCATGGTGGTGATCTCTCCCCCTCCTAGTTCACAAGAGACCTCTCCAGGAGGTAGAAATCTCGTGGTGTGGTGAGAGTGGTGTGGTGAGAGTGGTGGTGTTTGTGGTGAGAGTGGTGTTGTGGTGAGCATGGTGGTGGTCTCTCCCCCTCCTAGTTCACAAGAGACCTCTCCAGGAGGTAGAAATCTCGTGGTGTGGTGAGAGTGGTGTGGTGAGGGTGGTGGTGTTGTGGTGAGAGTGGTGGTGTTGTGGTGAGAGTGGTGGTGTTGTGGTGAGAGTGGTGTTGTGGTGAGCATGGTGGTGGTCTCTCCCCCTCCTAGTTCACAAGAGACCTCTCCAGGAGGTAGAAATCTCGTGGTGTGGTGAGAGTGGTGTGGTGAGAGTGGTGGTGTTGTGGTGAGAGTGGTGTTGTGGTGAGCATGGTGGTGGTCTCTCCCCATCCTAGTTCACAAGAGACCTCTCCAGGAGGTAGAAATCTCGTGGTGTGGTGAGAGTGGTGGTGTTGTGGTGAGAGTGGTGGTGTTGTGGTGAGAGTGGTGGTGTTGTGGTGAGAGTGGTGGTGTGGTGAGCATGGTGGTGGTCTCTCCCCCTCCTAGTTCACAAGAGACCTCTCCAGGAGGTAGAAATCTCGTGGTGTGGTGAGAGTGGTGGTGTGGTGAGAGTGGTGGTGTTGTGGTGAGAGTGGTGGTGTTGTGGTGAGCATGGTGGTGTGGTGAGCATGGTGGTGGTCTCTCCCCCTCCTAGTTCACAAGAGACCTCTCCAGGAGGTAGAAATCTCGTGGTGTGGTGAGAGTGGTGGTGTGGTGAGAGTGGTGGTGTGGTGAGCGTGGTGGTGGTGTGGTGAGCATGGTGTTGTGGTGAGAATGGTGGTGGTCTCTCCCCCTCCTAGTTCACAAGAGACCTCTCCAGGAGGTAGAAATCTCGGCCATCACGGACGGAGCCCTCCAGGGCCTCGCTTACCTCCACTCACACGGCATGATACACAGGTAGCTGCTGCTGCACGCTCACACAGCACACTGCTGCACACTGCTGCACACTCACACAGCGTGATACACAGGTAGCTGCTGCACACTCACACAGCACACTCACACGGCATGATACACAGGTAGCTGCTGCTGCACACTGCTGCACTATCACACAGCATGATACACAGGTAGCTGCTGCACACTCACACAGCATGATACACAGGTAGCTGCTGCACACTCACACAGCACACTCACACGGCATGATACACAGGTAGCTGCTGCTGCACACTGCTGCACTATCACACAGCATGATACACAGGTAGCTGCTGCACACTCACACAGCATGATACACAGGTAGCTGCTGCACACTCACACAGCGTGATACACAGCTAGCTGCTGCACACTCACACAGCATGATACACAGGTAGCTGCTGCACACTCACACAGCATGATACACAGGTAGCTGCTGCTGCACTCACACAGTGTGATACACAGGTAGCTGCTGCACACTCACACAGCATGATACACAGGTAGCTGCTGCACACTCACACAGCGTGATACACAGCTAGCTGCTGCACTATCACACAGCGTGATACACAGGTAGCTGCTGCACACTCACACGGCATGATACACAGGTAGCTGCTGCTGCACACTCACACAGCATGATACACAGGTAGCTGCTGCACACTCACACAGCGTGATACACAGGTAGCTGCTGCACACTCACACAGCGTGATACACAGGTAGCTGCTGCACACTCACACAGCGTGATACACAGGTAGCTGCTGCACACTCACACAGCGTGATACACAGGTAGCTGCTGCTGCACACTCACACAGCGTGATACACAGGTAGCTGCTGCACACTCACACAGCATGATACACAGGTAGCTGCTGCACACTCACACAGCATGATACACAGGTAGCTGCTGCACACTCACACAGCACACTCACACGGCATGATACACAGGTAGCTGCTGCTGCACACTGCTGCACTATCACACAGCATGATACACAGGTAGCTGCTGCACACTCACACAGCATGATACACAGGTAGCTGCTGCACACTCACACAGCGTGATACACAGCTAGCTGCTGCACACTCACACAGCATGATACACAGGTAGCTGCTGCACACTCACACAGCATGATACACAGGTAGCTGCTGCTGCACTCACACAGTGTGATACACAGGTAGCTGCTGCACACTCACACAGCATGATACACAGGTAGCTGCTGCACACTCACACAGCGTGATACACAGCTAGCTGCTGCACTATCACACAGCGTGATACACAGGTAGCTGCTGCACACTCACACGGCATGATACACAGGTAGCTGCTGCTGCACACTCACACAGCATGATACACAGGTAGCTGCTGCACACTCACACAGCGTGATACACAGGTAGCTGCTGCACACTCACACAGCGTGATACACAGGTAGCTGCTGCACACTCACACAGCGTGATACACAGGTAGCTGCTGCTGCACACTCACACAGCATGATACACAGGTAGCTGCTGCACACTCACACAGCGTGATACACAGGTAGCTGCTGCACACTCACACAGCATGATACACAGGTAGCTGCTGCACACTCACACAGTGTGATACACAGCTAGCTGCTGCACACTCACACAGCATGATACACAGGTAGCTGCTGCACACTCACACAGCATGATACACAGGTAGCTGCTGCACACTCACACAGCGTGATACACAGGTAGCTGCTGCACACTCACACAGCGTGATACACAGGTAGCTGCTGTACACTCACACGGCATGATACACAGGTAGCTGCTGCTGCACACTGCTGCACACTGCTGATGCACACTGCTGCACACTGCTGTTGCACACTGCTGCACACTCATACGGCATGATACACAGGTAGCTCTTGCTGCTGCTGCACACCGCTGCACACTGCTGCACACTGCTGCACACTGCTGCTGCTGCACACTCACACAGCGTGATACACAGCTAGCTGCTGCACTATCACACAGCGTGATACACAGGTAGCTGCTGCACACTCACACAGCGTGATACACAGGTAGCTGCTGCACTATCACAGCATGATACACAGGTAGCTGCTGCACACTCACACAGCACACTCACACAGCATGATACACAGGTAGCTGCTGCACACTCACACAGCATGATACACAGGTAGCTGCTGCACTATCACACGGCGTGATACACAGCTAGCTGCTGCACACTCACACAGCATGATACACAGCTAGCTGCTGCTGCTGCACACTGCTGATGCCCCACCCCCGATGACCCCATGACCCTGACCCTCCTCCCTTGTCCCCCGACCTTTTTGACCTTCTGACCCTGACCTCCCCTTGACCCCTGACCTCCCCTTGACCCCCTGACCCCCCCTTGACCCCCTGATCTCCCCTTGACCCCCTGACCCCCCATTGACCCCCTGACCTCCCCTTGCCCCCCTGACCTCCCCTTGACCCCCTGACCTCCCCTTGACCCCCTGCAGGGACATCAAGGCCGGCAACATCTTGCTAACGGAGCCGGGCCTTGTCAAGTTGGCCGACTTCGGCTCCGCATCCATCGCCAGCCCCGCCAACTCCTTCGTTGGCACCCCCTACTGGTACAGTGAGCCCTACTGTACAGAGAGACCCTACTGTACAGTGAGCCCCACCCTACTGGTACAGTGAGCCCCGCCAACTCCTTCGTTGGCACCCCCTACTGGTACAGTGAGCCCTACTGTACAGAGAGACCCTACTGTACAGTGAGCCCCACCCTACTGGTACAGTGAGCCCCGCCAACTCCTTCGTTGGCACCCCCTACTGGTACAGTGAGCCCCTACTGTACAGTGAGACCCTGCTGTACAGTGAGCCCCACCCTACTGGTACAGTGAGCCCCGCCAACTCCTTCGTTGGCACCCCCTACTGGTACAGCGAGACCCTACTGTACAGTGAGACCCTGCTGTACAGTGAGCCCCACCCTGCTGTTACAGTGAGCCCCACCCCTACTGGTACAGTGAGCCCCACCCTACTGTACAGTGAGCCCCGCCCTACTGTACAGCGAGACCCTACTGTGCAGTGAGCCCCGCCCTACTGGTACAGTGAGACCCTGTTGTACAGTGAGCCCCGCCCTGCTGGTACAGTGAGCCCCGCCCCTACTGGTACAGTGAGCCCCCTGCTGGTACAGTGAGCCCCGCCCCTACTGATACAGTGAGCCCCGCCCTACTGGTACAGTGAGCCCCGTTCTACTGGTACAGTGAGACCCTACTGTATAGCGAGACCCTACTGTACAGCGAGACCCTACTGTACAGTGAGCCCCGCCCTGCTGGTACAGCGAGCCCCTACTGTACAGCGAGCCCTGCTGTGCAGTGAGCCCTACTGTACAGCGAGCCCCTACTGTACAGTGAGACCCTACTGTACAGCGAGACCCTACTGTACAGTGAGACCCTGCTGGTACAGTGAGCCCCGCCCTACTGGTACAGTGAGCCCCTGCTGTACAGTGAGACCCTTCTGGTACAGTGAGACCCTGCTGGTACAGTGAGACCCTACTGGTACAGTGAGACCCTGCTGGTACAGTGAGACCCTGCAGGTACAGTGAGCCCCTACTGTACAGCGAGCCCTACTGTACAGCGAGACCCTGCAGGTACAGTGAACCCCTACTGTACAGCGAGACCCTACTGTACAGCGAGACCCTGCAGGTACAGTGAACCCCTTCTGTACAGCGAGACCCTACTGCACAGTGAGCCCCCTACTGGTACAGTGAGCCGCCTGCTGGTACAGTGAGCCCCGCCCTACTGGTACAGTGAGCCCCACCCCTACTGGTACAGTGAGCCCCGCCTTACTGGTACAGTGAGCCCCACCCCTACTGGTACAGTGAGCCCCGCCCTACTGGTACAGTGAGCCCCGCCACTACTGGTACAGTGAGCCCCGCTCCTACTGGTACAGTGAGCCCCACCCCTACTGGTACAGTGAGCCCCACCCCTACTGGTACAGTGAGCCCCGCCCTGCTGGTACAGTGAGCCCCGCCCTACTGGTACAGTGAGCCCCGCCCCTACTGGTACAGTGAGCCCCGCCCTACTGGTACAGTAAGCCGCCTGCTGGTACAGTGAGCCCCACCCCTGCTGGTACAGTGAGCCCCACCCTACTGGTACAGTGAGCCCCACCCCTACTGGTACAGTGAGCCCCGCCTTACTGGTACAGTGAGCCCCGCCCTACTGGTACAGTGAGCCCTGCCCCTACTGGTACAGTGAGCCCCGCCCTACTGGTACAGTAAGCCGCCTGCTGGTACAGTGAGCCCCACCCCTGCTGGTACAGTGAGCCCCACCCCTACTGGTACAGTGAGCCCCGCCCTACTGGTGCAGTGAGCCCCGCCCTACTGGTACAGTGAGCCCCGCCCTACTGGTACAGTGAGCCCCGCCCCTACTGGTACAGTGAGCCCCACCCTTCTGGTACAGTGAGCCCCCTGCTGGTACAGTGAGCCCCCACCCTACTGGTACAGTGAGCCCCACCCTACTGGTACAGTGAGTCCCACCCCCTACTGGTACAGTGTGCCCCGCCCTACTGGTACAGTGAGCCCCCTGCGTCTCTCCACCCCCTCCCCTCCCCCCGTGTCCCCCACTTCCCCCCCCCACCTCCCCCCCCACCCCTCCCCCCCACCTCCTCCCCTCCCCCCCTCCCCCCCCCCTCCCCCCACCCCCCAGGATGGCCCCTGAGGTGATCTTGGCGATGGACGAGGGTCAGTACGACGGCAAAGTGGACGTCTGGTCGCTGGGCATCACCTGCATCGAGCTGGGTGGGTGGCACGGGCTCACTGTGGGTGGGTGGCACGGGTTCGCTGTGGGTGGCACGGGCTCACTGTGGGTGGCACGGGCTCACTGTGGGTGGGTGGCACGGGCTCACTGTGGGTGGCACGGGCTCACTGTGGGTGGCACGGGCTCACTGTGGGTGGGTGGCACGGGCTCACTGTGGGTGGGTGGCACGGGTTCACTGTGGGTGGGTGGCACGGGCTCACTGGGTGGGTGGCACGGGCTCACTGTGGGTGGGTGGCACGGGCTCACTGGGTGGGTGGCACGGGCTCACTGTGGGTGGGTGGCACGGGCTCACTGTGGGTGGGTGGCACGGGCTCACTGTGGGTGGGTGGCACGGGCTCACTGTGGGTGGGTGGCACGGGCTCACTGTGGGTGGCACGGGTTCACTGTGGGTGGGGTTCACTGTGGGTGGAAGGGGCTCACTGTGGGTGGGGTTCACTGTGGGTGGGGTTCACTGTGGGTGGGGTTCACTGTGGGTGGCACGGGTTCACTGTGGGTGGGTGTGGTGCACTGTAGGTGGGAGGGGTTCACTGTGGGTGGGGTTCACTGTGGGTGGGGTTCACTGTGGGTGTGGTTCACTGTGGGTGGAAGGGGTTCACTGTGGGAGGGGTTCACTGTGGGTGGGGTTCACTGTGGGTGGAAGGGGTTCACTGTGGGTGGTACGGGTTCACTGTGGGTGGAAGGGGTTCACTGTGGGTGGGGTGGCTGAGGTGAGTGGGTGGGTTGTTGTTGTTGTTCACAGTTGTTGATGTTGTTGGTTGATGTATTTGGTTGTTGTTGATTGTGGATGTTGGTGGTTGTTGTTGATTGCTGTTGACGGTTGTTGATTGTTGTTGATTGTTGTTGATTGTTGTTGTTGTTGACCCAGCGGAGCGCAAGCCACCGCTGTTTAACATGAACGCGATGTCAGCCCTCTATCACATCGCTCAGAACGAGCCACCAACACTGCAGGAACTCGAGTGGTGAGTCGGAGAGACGCTCACCCACACACTCACCCACACACTCACCCACACACTCACTCACTCACTCACCCACTCACTCACTCACTCACCCACTCACTCACCCACTCACCCACACACTCACTCACTCACCCACTCACTCACTCACTTACCCACTCACTCACTCACCCACACACTCACTCACTCACCCACTCACTCACTCACTCACCCACTCACTCACTCACCCACTCACTCACTCACCCACTCACTCACTCACTCACCCACTCACTCACCCACTCACTCACCCACTCACTCACCCACTCACTCACCCACTCACCCACACACTCACCCACTCACTCACCCACTCACTCACCCACTCACTCACTCACTCACCCTCCCACCAACCCACACACTCACACACTCACCCACTCACTCACTCACTCACCCACTCACTCACCCACTCACCCACCCACTCACTCACCCACTTACCCACTCACTCACCCATTCACTCACCCACTCACTCACCCACTCACTCACCCACTCACTCACTCACCCACTCACTCACCCACTCACTCACTCACTCACCCACTCACTCACTCACCCACTCACTCACCCACATACTCACTCACCCACACACTCACTCACTCACCCACTCACTCACCCACACACTCACTCACTCACTTACCCACTCACTCACTCACCCACACACTCACTCACTCACCCACTCACTCACTCACTCACCCACTCACTCACTCACCCACTCACTCACACACTCACCCACTCACTCACTCACCCATTCACTCACCCACCCATTCACTCACTCACTCACCCACTCACTCACCCACTCACTCACCCACACACCCACTCACTCACTCACTCACCCACCCACACACTCACTCACTCACACACTCACTCACTCACACACTCACCCACTCACTCACCCACTCACTCACTCACCCACTCACTCACTCACCCACACACCCACTCACACACCCACTCACTCACCCACCCACCCACTCACTCACCCATTCACTCACTCACTCACCCACTCACCCACTCACTCACCCACACACTCACCCATTCACCCACACACTCACTCACTCACCCACTCACTCACTCACCCACTCACTCACTCACCCACACACCCACTCACACACCCACTCACTCACCCACCCACCCACTCACTCACCCATTCACTCACTCACTCACCCACTCACCCACTCACTCACCCACACACTCACCCATTCACCCACACACTCACCCACACACTCACCCACTCACTCACTCACCCATTCACTCACTCACCCACTCACCCACTCACTCACCCACCCACTCACTCACTCACTCACCCACCCACTCACCCACTCGCTCACTCGCTCACCCACACACTCACTCACCCACACACTCACCCACTCACTCACTCACTCACCCACCCACACACTCACTCACACACTCACTCACTCACCCACTCACTCACCCACTGACCCTCTCACTCACCCACTCACTCACCCTCTCACCCACACACTCACTCACCCACTCACCCACTCACTCACCCACTCACTCACCCACACACCCACTCACTCACCCACTCACCCACTCACTCACCTATTCACTCACCCACTCACTCACCCACTCACCCACTCACTCACTCACTCACCCACTCACTCACCCACTCACTCACCCACACACTCACTCACTCACCCACTCACTCACTCACTCACACACTCACTCACCCACTCACCCACTCACTCACCCACTCACTCACCCACACACTCACTCACTCACCCACTCACTCACTCACTCACCCACTCACTCACCCTCTCACTCACCCACTCACTCACCCACTCACTCACCCACACACTCACCCACACACTCACTCACTCACCCACCCACTCACCCACCCACACACCCACTCACCCACTCACTCACTCACTCACCCACACACTCACTCACCCACTCACTCACTCACCCACTCACTCACCCACCCACACACTCACTCACTCACCCACTCACCCACCCACACACTCACCCACTCACTCACTCACCCACCCACACACTCACCCACACACCCACCCACCCACACACTCACTCATACACTCACCCACTCATACACTCACCCACACACTCACTCACTCACCCACTCACTCACCCACCCACCCACACACTCACTCACTCACACACTCACTCACTCACCCACTCACTCACCCACTGACCCTCTCACTCACCCACTCACTCACCCTCTCACTCACCCACTCACTCACCCACTCACTCACTCACTCACCCACCCACACACTCACTGACTCACTCACACACTCACCCACTCACTCACTCACCCACTCACTCACTCACCCACACACCCACTCACACACCCACTCACTCACCCACCCACCCACTCACTCACCCATTCACTCACTCACTCACCCACTCACCCACTCACTCACCCACACACTCACCCATTCACCCACACACTCACCCACACACTCACCCACTCACTCACTCACCCATTCACTCACTCACCCACTCACCCACTCACTCACCCACCCATTCACTCACTCACTCACCCACCCACTCACCCACTCGCTCACTCGCTCACCCACACACTCACTCACCCACACACTCACCCACTCACTCACTCACTCACCCACCCACACACTCACTCACACACTCACTCACTCACCCACTCACTCACCCACTGACCCTCTCACTCACCCACTCACTCACCCTCTCACCCACACACTCACTCACCCACTCACCCACTCACTCACCCACTCACTCACCCACACACCCACTCACTCACCCACTCACCCACTCACTCACTCACTCACCCACTCACTCACCCACTCACCCACTCACTCACTCACTCACCCACTCACTCACCCACTCACTCACCCACACACTCACTCACTCACCCACTCACTCACTCACTCACACACTCACTCACCCACTCACCCACTCACTCACCCACTCACTCACCCACACACTCACTCACTCACCCACTCACTCACTCACTCACCCACTCACTCACCCTCTCACTCACCCACTCACTCACCCACTCACTCACCCACACACTCACTCGCACACTCACTCACTCACCCACCCACTCACCCACCCACACACCCACTCACCCACTCACTCACTCACTCACCCACACACTCACTCACCCATTCACTCACTCACCCACTCACTCACCCACCCACACACTCACTCACTCACCCACTCACCCACCCACACACTCACCCACTCACTCACTCACCCACCCACACACTCACCCACTCACCCACCCACCCACACACTCACTCATACACTCACCCACTCATACACTCACCCACACACTCACTCACTCACCCACTCACTCACCCACCCACCCACACACTCACTCACTCACACACTCACTCACTCACCCACTCACTCACCCACTGACCCTCTCACTCACCCACTCACTCACCCTCTCACTCACCCACTCACTCACCCACTCACTCACTCACTCACCCACCCACACACTCACTGACTCACTCACACACTCACCCACACACTCACCCACACACTCACTCACTCACACACTCACTCACTCACCCACTCACTCACCCACTCACTCACTCACTCACCCACTGACCCTCTCACTCACCCACTCACTCACCCACTCACTCACCCACTCACTCACTCACTCACCCACTCACCCACTCACCCTCTCACTCACCCACTCACTCACCCACTCACCCACTCACTCACCCACTCACCCCCCCCACCCACATGCCCCTCCCCCCACCCCACATGCCCCTCCCCCCACCCACATGCCCCTCCCCCCACCCACATGCCCCTCCCCCCACCCCACATGCCCCTCCCCCCACCCCACATGCCCCTCCCCCCACCCCACATGCCCCTCCCCTTAGGTCTGAACACTTCCGCCAGTTTATTTCCTGCTGCCTCCAGAAGTCTCCACAGGACCGCCCAGCGTCCAGCCAGCTCACAGAGGTGAGGAGCTCCTCACCACCACTCGCTCACCCACTCACTCACTCACTCACCCACCCACTCACCCACCCACTCACCCACCCACTCACCCACTCACTCACCCACTCGCTCACCCACTCACCCACTCACTCACCCACTCGCTCACCCACTCACCCACCCACTCACTCACCCACTCACTCACTCACCCACCCACTCGCTCACCCACTCACCCACTCACTCACCCACCCACTCACTCACTCACTCACCCACCCACTCACTCACCCACTCACCCACCCACCCACTCACTCACCCACTCACTCACCCACCCACTCATCCACCCACCCACTCACTCACCCACTCACCCACTCACTCACCCACCCATCCACCCACCCACTCACTCACCCACTCACTCATCCACCCACTCACTCACTCACCCACTCACTCACCCACTCACCCACTCACTCACCCACCCATCCACCCACCCACTCACTCACCCACTCACTCAATCACTCACTCACTCACCCACCCACTCATCCACCCACCCACCCACTCACCCACCCACTCACTCACCCACCCACCCACTCACCCACCCACCCACCCACCCACTCACCCACTCACCCACTCACTCACCCACCCACTCATCCACCCACTCACTCACTCACCCACTCACTCACTCACCCACCCACTCACCCAGCCACTCACTCACTCACCCACCCACTCACCCACTCACCCACCCACTCACCCACCCACCCACTCACTCACTCACCCACTCACCCACCCACCCACCCACTCACTCACCCACCCACTCACTCGCTCACCCACTCACTCACTCACCAACTCACTCACCCACTCACCCACCCACCCACTCACTCACCCACTCACTCACTCACCCACTCACTCACCCACTCACTCACTCACTCACCCACTCGCTCACCCACTCACCCACCCACTCACTCACTCACCCACCCACCCACTCACCCAGCCACTCACCCACTCACCAACTCACTCACCCACCCACTCACTTACCCACTCGCTCACTCACCCACTCACTCACCCACTCGCTCACCCACTCACCCACTCACTCACCCACTCGCTCACCCACTCACCCACCCACTCACTCACTCACTCACCCACTCACCCACCCACTCACCCACTCACTCACTCACCCACTCACTCACCCACCCACCCACTCACTCACTCACCCACTCACCCACCCACTCACTCACCCACTCACCCACTCACTCACTCACTCACCCACTCACCCACTCACCCACCCACTCACTCACTCACTCACCCACCCACTCACCCACTCACCCACTCGCTCACCCACTCACTCACCCACTCACCCAGCCACTCACCCACTCGCTCACTCACTCACCCAGCCACTCACCCACTCGCTCACTCACCCACTCACTCACTCACTCATCCACTCACTCACTCACTCACCCACTCTACCCACCCACTCACTCACCCACTCACTCACCCACTCACTCACCCACTCTACCCACCCACACACCCACTCACCCACTCACCCACTCACTCACCCAGCCACTCACCCACTCGCTCACTCACTCACCCACTCACCCACTCAATCATCCACTCACTCACCCACCCACACACTCACTCACTCACTCACCCACTCACTCACCCACTCACCCACTCACTCACTCACCCACCCACTCACCCACTCACCCACTCGCTCACCCACTCACTCACCCACTCACCCAGCCACTCACCCACTCGCTCACTCACTCACCCAGCCACTCACCCACTCGCTCACTCACCCACTCACTCACTCACTCATCCACTCTACTCACCCACTCACCCAGCCACTCACCCACTCGCTCACTCACTCACCCAGCCACTCACCCACTCACTCACTCATCCACTCACTCACTCACTCACCCACTCTACCCACCCACTCACTCACCCACTCACTCACCCACTCTACCCACCCACACACCCACTCACCCACCCACTCACCCACCCACTCTACCCACCCACCCACTCACTCACCCACTCACTCACCCACTCACTCATCCACTCACTCACCCACTCTACCCACCCACACACCCACTCACCCACTCACCCACTCACTCACCCACCCACTCACCCACTCACTCACCCTCTCACTCACCCACCCACCCCACCTCACCACCTCACCCACCCTCTCACCCAGCCACTTACTCACTCACCCACTCACTCACCCACTCACCCACTCGCTCACCCACTCACTCACTCGCTCACCCACTCACTCACCCACTCACCCATCCACCCACTCACTCACTCACCCACTCACCCACTCACTCACCACCCCACCCACCCACTCACCCACTCACCCACCCATTCTACCCACCCACCCACTCACTCACCCACTCACTCTCCCACTCACTCATCCACTCACTCACCCACTCACTCACCGCCTCACTCACCCTCTCACCACCTCACCCACCCACCCTCTCACCACCCCACCCACCCACCCACTCATCCACTCACTCACTCACCCACCCACCCACCGACTCACCCACTCACCCACCCACCCACCCACTCACTCACCCTCTCACCACCTCACCCACCCACCCTCTCACCACCTCACCCACCCACTCACCTTCTCACCCTCTCACCCTCTCACCCTCTCACCCACCCACTCACTCACCCACCCCACCCACGCCACCCACCCACTCACTCACCCACTCACTCACCGCCTCACTCACCCTCTCACCACCTCACCCACCCTCTCACCACCCCACCCACCCACCCACTCATCCACTCACTCACTCACCCACCCACCCACCGACTCACCCACTCACTCACCACCCCACCCACCCACTCACTCACCCTCTCACCACCTCACCCACCCACCCTCTCACCACCTCACCCACCCACTCACCCTCTCACCCTCTCACCCTCTCACCCTCTCACCCACCCACCCCACTCACCACCCCACCCACGCCACCCCACCCAGCACGCGTTCGTGAGGAGGGAGCGCCTGCCGGCCGTGCTGCTGGAGCTGATCGCTCGCACCAAGGTCGCGGTGCGTGAACTGGACAACTTACAGTACCGGAAGATGAAGAAGTTACTCTTCAGGGAGGCGAGGAGCGGTGGTGGTGGCGGTGGTGGCGGTGGTGGTGGTGGTGGCGGTGGTGGTGGTGGTGGCGAGGACACTCCCCAGCTGCTGTTGGGGGTTCACGACGATCTTGACGATGAGGTGAGTCGTCCCACCCCCTCTTCTCCGCTCCCCTCCCCGCACCGTGCCGGTCTAGTGCATCATTTCATGCTACATCATCTTATGCAGATGCCTCCCACACAGCCGGCTTAAAGGAGGCGACCTGAGGCCTTGGCTCTCTCTTTCACTCCAGCGCTGTCCTCTGGACAAGTCCGGTCCCTTCCACCTGATGATGGACGCTTGCGTTGTGGGCCGAAACGTCGCGAGAATTTCGTTGTTGTTTTAGTTTTTACCCACGTGACTTTTGCCGAGTAGAACCAAAGAGCGTGGTCGTAGAGTTCGTCATCGTCACCGTCATCACCATCATCATCACCGTCACAATCACCATCATCGTCACCACCATCATCGTCAACACCATCATCGTCATCGTCATCGTCAACACCGTCGTCATCCTCATCGTCAACACCATCATCATCATCGTCAACACCATCATCGTCACCGTCATCGTCAACACCATCATCATCATCATCATCGTCAACACCATCATCATCATCGTCAATGTCAACACCATCATCATCATCGTCAACACCATCATCATCATCATCATCATCGTCAATGTCAACACCATCATCATCATCGTCAACACCATCATCATCGTCGTCATCGTCAACACCATCATCATCATCGTCAACACCATCATCATCGTCGTCATCGTCAACACCATCATCATCATCGTCAACACCATCATCATCATCGTCAACACCATCATCATCACCATCGTCATCATCACCATCATCATCATCACAGTCGTAGACTTCATCATCACCATCATCATCACCATCATCATCACCACCATCATCACCATCATCACCATCATCATCACGGTCGTCAACGTCAACACCATCATCATCGTCAACATCA